AGTGTGGAACTCTGATAGAGGAATCCTCATGGGGGCTGCCAGAGGCTCTCTCATGGTACCTTTTGAGGGGGCTAAGCTGGCATTTTTTAGCGACTTCTCCAGGCAAACCCTTACATGGCGAAGGTCACCCAATTACTGAGGGAGAACGCCACTCCCCACGAGTGGGGATCTCACTGCCTAACAGCAGACAATGCTGGCAAGTCACACCAATCCAAAATTCCTGCTTTTCTACAATCACTGGACCTACCGACAGCGGCCTCCGCAACGGTTTGACTGGCCTGGCTGGTATAAGAAATCACTCCTTTGTTTCAGGAATGATCGAATTACCTGCTTGAAGGAAGCAGCTGCCAAATTCTGTCTTGATCTTAAATGTTATCAACCAATAACAGAGTTATTCACTAAACTCCAAAATGTAGTTTATTAAATTATGAATCAAAAGGAAGGCAAAAATAGCTCATGTGTAAAAAAAAAAAAATTGCCCTGGTGCCACCTCCCTTGTTTTTCATTTCCCCCAGTCACTCCATGCATCTCATTCCCACCCCCCCATGCATCTCATTCCCCCCCATTCCTTCATGTGTCTTACCCACCCACCCCTCTACGTGTCTCGTTCCCTCTCCCCCAGCCCCTCCACGTGTCTCGTTCCCTCTCCCCCAGCCCCTCCACGTGTTTCGTTCCCTCTCCCCCAGCCCCTCAATGTTTCTCATTCATTCTTCCCCTCAGCCCCTCCATGTGTCTCATCCATTCTCCCACCCAGCCCCTCCATGTGTCTCATTCCCTCTCACCCCTATCCATCTTTATCTGTTTAGCTGGAGCGCGGTACCCGTCTCACAAAAAGTGCTCTCTCAGTGTGCATTTCCTGTCAGACGCAACCCGCTTGGTACAAACAGCAAGCGCGTTCCCAGGCTGGTGCCTTGAAGGAATAGTGGTGGCCCACAGCCGCAGTGGTTTGCTCTAATGGCTATGGTACCAGGAGTGTCCTGTGACCCCCATCATAAGGAATCAAACTGTTTTTAAACCAACTTCTCAGTTGTCTCAGTATTCTCTTGTGCCCTCGTTTAGTTTGTTTGCTCTCCCTAAGGTATAAGGGTAATCCTGTTGTGGATCCCTTTGCTCACCGTGTTCAGATGGGTATCAGCTTTACCTCACTGACAAGGCCTAACACGGCTGGGGAGATTGTCTGGGATTGCTGTATCTCTCGTGCAGAGGGAGCAGGCCTGCTTTTTGGATCTGAACTGCCTTTTTGGGTGAGATCAATCTAATGTGCTAATGGTTTATTTTCTGTCTGTAATGGCACAAGATGAGCTAAAACCAGCTTGAGAACTGAGCGGGCTCCCACCGAAAGGGTGAAGGCTTTGAGAGTGATGTGCATGTGCATGAGTGCTCTGTGCATGTAGAATGAACACAAACTACATTTAGAAGGTTATTTCTCCCTGAATATACAGATTTTATGTTTTCAAATGTTAAGTTTGCTAAAAAAAAAATGTAATCCTATAGAAAACATTTCAATGGAACAGTCCACACACCATAACAACTACAGCACACAGGCATTAATAGTGGAGGCATTATTCAACTACTTAAATTGGGGATAGTCCAGGTAAGCTGTAGTGGTTATGGTACTAGGAGTGTTCCTTTAGCATTCAGAGAGGTTTATTCACTTAAATCCAAACTGCATAGTGTTCAAATCATACGGCAACATAAAGGCTTAAATATCCAATATGAAAATATAGCTGAGATTTTACAAATCCGCTATTTTTTTTTCTCAATTTTGCCATTTAGATTTCAATTCACTACAATTCAAGTTTAGTTAACAAAGCGTTTAACCGTAAATCTGACAGAAAAGTTCTCAGCGGGTTGTGAAATAGTTAAACGCTATGTTATGTCATATATCCAAGAATCTCTTACTGTCGTGTGCTCTTTCATCGTCTATTGTGTATTCGTTCCTAAGAACTGGGTGAACGGTGTCAGGTCAATATAGTTTATGCATGGTTGCCTTCATGTATTCTAATCTTACAGTGCCACCTTCAGGTTGGCAGGAGGTATTTCTGGTCAGTAAAATGACCCTCAGTGATGTCAAAAAATGGATAACATTGATATTGCTAATGGAATTCAGCAGGAGACCAAGACGGGAAACTGGTTTTAGTCAAAGTGGCTAGAACGGTGATACTTTCACTGCCTTAGAACCAAGAAGCCCAGGTACAAGTTCCAGTCAGACAACCTCACCAGGAAGTGTACTTGGGCAACACAACGATTTATGGTATAATGTGGTAATACCTCAAAACCTCATAGATTATAAGCCTGTTTGAGCAATGCCTTTTATATCTCTACACCCTGTTCCAAATGATTATGCAAATTATATTTTTCTCATTTAACTAAATAATTGATGTAAATAACAGTCAGCATTATTCTCAATTATTACAATTCAAATGTTATTGAACAAAACTCCTAATGATAGCAGTATTTTTTTTTAAACATAAAAAACGTACAATGCACTGTTCCAAATGATTACGCACAGTAAGTTTCAAAACACTTTATAGGTTGTAAAGAACTGAAAATTGTCATTTGTTGTGTTTGCAGCATATTTACTGAAATGAAAATCTATTTCAATCAAACTTATAACAACATTTTAACTTTTTAAACATTTTAACAGGTCACCTTACATTTTAACATGGGACCCCTTATTTGATAGCATCTTCACAAGACTTGCATCCATTGAACTTGTGAGTTTTTGGATAGTTTCTGCTTGAATTTGTTTGCAAGATGTCAGAATAGCCTCCCAGAGCTGCTGTTTGGATGTAAACTGCCTCCCACCCTCACAGATCTTTTGCTTGAGGATGCTCCAAAGGTTCTAAATAGGATTGAGGTCAGGGGAGGATGGAGGCCACACCATGACTTTCTCTCCTTTTATCCCTATAGCAGCCATTGATGCAGAGGTATTCTTTGCAGCATGAGATGGTGCATTGTCATGCATGAAGATGATTTTATTACCGAAAGCATAGTTCTTCCTTCTGTACCAGGGAAGAAAGTGGTCAGTCAGAAACTCCACATACTTTGCAGAGGTCATCTTTACACCTTCGGAGGACCCTAAAGGTGCCGACCAGCTCTCTTCCCATGATTCCGGCCCAAAACATGACTCCACCACCGCCTTGCTGACGCCGCAGCCTTGTTGGAACAAGGTGGCCGTCCACCAACTATCCACTACTCCATCCATCTGGACCATCCAGGGTAGCACGGCACTCATCAGTGAACAGGACTGTTTAAAAATTAGTCTTCATGTATTTTTCTGACCAATGCAGCCGTTTCTGCTTGTGAGCATTAGTTAGTGGTGGCCGAATAGAAGGTTTATGCACAGTTGCAAGACTCTGGAGGACTCTACACCTTGATGTCCGTGGGACTCCAGAGGCACCAGCAGCTTCAAATATCTGTTTGCTGCTATGTAATGGTATTTTAGCAGCTGCTCTCTTGATCTTCCTCAATGTGCCTTTATCTGCACAAACCCGTCTGTGCTCTGAATCAGCCACAAATCTCTTAATAGTGCGATGATCACGCTTAAGCTTTCGTGAAATATCTAATGTTTTCATACCTCGTCCAAGGCATTGAACTATTTCACTATTTTCGGCAGCAGAGAGATCCTTTTTCTTCCCCATATTGCATGAAAATGGTGCTCTGCTTAATAATGTCGAACACCCTCTTTTAGTAGTTTTTCCTTAAATTGGGCTCACCTGGCAATCTAATTATCATAGGTGTCTGAGATTGTTTTCAGTGATCAAAAGAGTCCTGAGACACAATGCCATCCATGAGTTAAACTGAAAAACTAAATATTTCATCTTTGTGACACTTACAAATAATTTGCATAATAATTTGGAACAGGGTGTATATACCATCTTTCTATAATTGTAAAGCGCTGTGAAACATTTTAGCTCTATATAAATTGTAATAAAGATAATCAAAGGATGGTGCTTACAGTCAAATATCACCATTATCAGTTGACATGTAGTTGTTATGGTGCTTAAAATAACCCTTTAAAACATTTTTTAATTTTTATTTTATTGTAATTTTATTTTACTTTTTTTATAATTCTTTATTTTTGTAGTGCAAAAAAAACATTACAGATAGGCTTGCAGAGCCACAACAGCTAGTACAAGTTGTTCATTCAATACAGGTAAACAGTTGTAGGCATCAATAACATGGCACATTGTTTTGTGTATTACGTTGCTATTACCGGTGGGCGGCTAGCATGCAACTCCTGTCTAAGGGTCGCCAGATGGGTATTCTTTGTATACATGGAGGGCAGGGTGCATGAGATGCCTCTAATACAAAAGAGTGGAATAGGGTCCAGGGACTTATAGCAGGTTAAAGAGGCTTGTGCCCCCTTTGTATGCTAATGGGGTGGTAATATCAGTAGATCTGATGATAAAGGGAGGGGGGGGGATAAAAACCTGGAGCAGTATGTGGTGAAGGTACATTTGTTATGCCATATGTAATAAAGACAAAACTATAAATTTATAACGGTACTCATGGAGGTTTCAGAAATAATAAACAAAACTTTACAAAACTTGACAGCATCAGGCCATCTTGGTTGCAAAGAGTTCAGGGCACCGATGTGGATGCTGCTTCTCCTCTCTGGGCCGCTGGTACGAATGGGCGCACTGTAGCGGCATTCCAGACTGCGGAGCTCGTTGTGTTGGTATGCGCGGTTTGCTCAGGTACTTGCTTGTCCAGCTCGAGCATCTGCATTACGGCCGGGATCTCTGCTGCTTCGTGCACTTTGATGTTCCCAGTATCTTTGGGTATGATCAGGCTTCTGGGTGTGCCCCATCTGTAGGGTATGTTGTGTGCTAGGAGCTCCTTAGTTAGGGGTCTCAGGGACCGTCTCCAGTCCCTGGTGGCCTTGGATAGATCAGGGTAGAAGGTTAGGGAATAGCCCTCAAAGTGTAAAGGGGACCTATTACGCATGGCTTTCATGACGGCTAGGCGGTCTCGGCCTTGCTGTAACCGGATGATTACATCCTTCCTCCTTCTGTGATACCTGTCTGTTGCCTGGAGATCCGGTACCAGCTATCCAGGGACATCCCTTTGGCCTGTCTGGCTGTAAAGAGTGTGCTGAACATTCTGCGAAATAGGTGTGGTAGTTCATCGGTCTCCACTGCATCAGGTAGGCCTCGAACTTTAATGTTCTTCCAGCGCCTTTTATCTTCCAGCACTGCCATGCTTTCTTGGTGTTCTCTTTGGACCTTTTGCAGGGCCAGGAGTTGCTGCTCCACTGTCCCAAGTCGGGTATCCTGTGCGGCAGCGTTAAGCTCTGTGTTTTGCAGTCGGGCTGATACACTGCTAATCTCTTCGCGGAACTTGCCGATGTCAGCTGCAATATTGCGGCGCAGCTCACCAAGCATGTCCCTCGGTGTCTCCTCCGTGATCGGATGCTTTGCAGGTGAGTGGGTCGGTCTGCTCATAGCCCGTTCACCGTAGTCACCCTCTTCAGACACAGACGCCTCGCTGGACGAGTTGTATCGGCTCTCCATCTGCGGCGCCATTGCGAACCTTTGGGAGTGTTGAGACCTCCGCAGGAGATCACCGATATCTGCGGTGGTAGGGGGTCTGTCCAGCTTAGGCTTTTTGCTATGTCGCCCCATGCCCTCTGGGGAACAGGCTGTCTCCAAGGTTGCTTTCAGGGTAGGTTTTCCTCCGTTTTTGGTCTTAGTTAAGCGTTTTTTTGATCGGAGCTCGAGGCATGTGCGTCCTCTCAGTATGACTGATTGCTCCGCCCCCCCGTTTTTTTATTTTTGAAGTGCACAAATAGACAAACAAGGTTGGTCTTTTGCATGGCAACATTTAAGCATAAACATTCAGGAATTACTGTCTGAGTTAAGTGACTCCAGTCAGAGATAATCACATTTTTAAAAATTCAATTTAACTTTATCTCAGTTTCATTAAAAAATCCTTTGCAAAAAAAAAGTCACCGAACTATTAAAAGTTTTTGGCCACAAAGTTTCTGCCAAAAAATTATTTAAAAAATAGATTCTATCTACTACTCCCCTTGTGACTGAACTGAAAATTGGATTTTCTGAATTTATTCTAAATTAGCCCAAATGGGAATGTAGCTGACTTGCAGATGTTTACTTTGGCTTTTTCTTTGACTCTGCCTAATATTGCAAATTCAGTTTTCAGTTTACCACAATTTGCCATTTAGTGAATATAACCTTTATATCTTAAGGAAGTTGTTTAATATATTTTCACCCATGTCCTACATATTTTTCGCCACCGTGTTTGTGAACTCTGGCACAGTTTGTAATTCTACAATGAACCTTGGGATCACATAATCTAAAAAACAATAGGGTAGGTATTTCTAAGAAAGGAAAGTACAAAGGAAGTAGATATTTCACAATCTGTCTTTTATTTAAACTGGCAGATTATTTACGAATCCCATACTGCACGATGAGTGTTGTCGCAAAGTACTAAAAGCATGCTTGAACCCCTAATGAAATGGAAAAATCAATCAAAGTATTGATTATTTCTTTGTGTATCTGCCCCTGGCCAAATCAATGAACCAATGCGTGCACGCTCCCTGAAGTAATTCACACCAGACACAGGTTCCAGGTTGTTGAATAACTTGAGGAATGTTTATTCAGAGGGGACGGCAGGTCCCTTTTAAAGCAAAGTTACATCATAAGCATTGTCAGAGATAACATAGAATAATACATCAATAATTGGTTAGGTGTTAAGTGGTTGCTCTAATGCTCTGCCTACTATAGGTGATGTCACCGGGGCCATGAGGGTCTCCCACGGTTTCCTGGCGCCATCTTGTTGCACGAGGTAGTTAGTTGGTGTTATGAAGGGAGGGAGGGGGAAGAGGGTGGAGGGGCTAGAAGCTTCTAGCAGCCATTTTGATTAAACATGTGTGCTTAACTCTATAGCATATTGTGAAATGAGTAAATAGACATTTTCCTTTAACTAGGAAATATGTGCAGACCTTATTTCCACAACAGTCCCCCCTAAAATGGCTATTTACCATAACAACTGCCACTATCCCTAATATATCCCTAATGATATGCTCCTAATTACCTATAGCTCATCTATCTCAGCAAGCATCGAACACTTCACTCCGTGGGTAACCCGCAGCGGCTAATCCTCTACATCTCCACACGTGAGACTCGCCTGCCAAGACAGATGCTTTCCCTATACTATCCCTACAGGAAAGCAGTTGTCTGTTTGAACTGATGTGCTTGAAGGGGTGTATGTGGTGTGTCATCTTCGAGGTCTGTGACGTCCTGATGTAGGAAAGTAGGGGTCACGTCAACTATAGTCTTATCTACTGCTTTTTGTAAGTACTTCTGTATGCAAGGGAGTAAGCAACAGGTCAGAAATAAGAAAATGATGGTCATTATAAGAACAGCTGTCCCCACCTGGAAGAGGGTCCTCTGCCATCCATTCATCCATCCAAACCATCTGTCCCAAGTGTCAGTGACTCCTGAATTTTTCTTTAGCTCGTCTGCAAGATTATCCAGCTTCTCTATGGCCATAGTCACCTTACCATTGGGCCCAGTGTTGTCTGGAATGTATGTACAGCATGTCATGGTCTCAGGGAGGATTTTACATACACCTCCTTTCTCGGCTAAAATCATATCTAGAGCCATTCTGTTCTGAAATGTCATTTGGGTAGTGGCTTGCAGTTGCTCTGCCAGGCCCTGTAGGGCATCCCTGGTGTAGTTGACAAAGCGTTGTTGGTTATAGTAGATGTAGTTAATCCAATTGACATTTTTGTTAGCAGTTATCATTGGGATTAGGGATTCAAATCCTGCAGCCACTTCATCTCTTGCTTTGAATTCATTAGGCACCCCCCTTGGCACACCTATGGCATCAATATACACATGGGGGTCAAAGCTCCCTCGAATAGGAGTCTCTCGTTTAGTTCTAGAGTGTACATGTGTGGGGTTTAACATGTTATGACTACCATCTGGAATAATGTGGATAGGCATTATGACCTTGGTTAGGGCACACTCCCCCCACCATTGCCCAGCTAATTGGGACCTCAATTGTTTATCACCACATAACCAATAGATATCACCGATTGTCTTTGTGTGATTCATTAACAGTGATACGGGTGGATCATGATAGGTCGAGCAGTATCCTGATGGGAATTTGCCCAGATGTAAACCAGTGTTCTTTGGTATTGTATAACATGTGTAGTTACCTGGGTAGATGGTGACTCCATCAGGTGGTTTTACATGTCCATGAGTGATCGGGTAGATTTTCTTCCATGATTCACATGTTGAGGAGTTAGAGATGGATTGTGCATAAAGACTCAGTACACATAGTTCTACCTCAGGAGGTAAGTTCAGAGGGACTGTGCCCAAATGGGGCCTAGCCCCCCCACATACATAACAATTAGTTTTGTTGTGTGAGTTAGCATTATACCTCATCCATTCCAGCCACAGATTAGTATCTGAGAACCCAGTCTCTACTGCCATAGTGTCTTCAAAGGTGGGGTTAGCTATAGCTACCATGTCATGCAGGGTCTTAATAGGTGGTTTTAATGGATTAATTATCATGTGAGTGGTCCCTACGCAGTCTGAGGAGGTGAGCATGTCTTGTAGGTAAAATGTCCCCAATGCATTATGTGAGCCACCCCCCTTCCAGTACATCCCCATCACATATTCCCCCGCGTCCCTTGGGCTAGGGTGTTCTATGTTCAGGGTAAGTTTAATGAGGGTTGACCCTGTGGGTTTACTCAGAGTCATTCTGGAAAGTAGGGGCTTCCCGTCCTTGTCAAGTCTGTCCAGTGCGACCTGAGGTCTGTAGCCCCATGGCCTACCTGTATTCCACCCGGCAGCTTTCCATGAACTACAATGGTGTCCCCAAGTTTCTCCGGTCACACAAATGTATGGATCCTTTTTGTTAGGTATGTCTTTGTATATGGCTGCATATTGTGTTTGTGGAAATGTACAAGTAACTATGTCACAGTAATCAAAGGTGTATGTAGCTACATCAGTGTTAGAAGAGTTGTACCAGAAAGTGTAAACATGATTATCTTTGGTTATGGCCACTTGTTGGGCCCAAGCAAAGTGCAACAACATAAGAAAACACAAGACGCATAATAAATTCATGTTTCAGCAAGAACAGCCTCTTCTGGAGCAGGCACTTTTTTGCAATGTGAAGCGTGTATCCAGGAACTCTTCCCAGCCAGTTTAACTGACGTTGCTGTAATCAGGAGCACTTGATAAGGACCATCAAATCTCGGTTCTAGGGTGTGTTTCCTGAGAAACTTCTTGACCATAACCCAGTCACCAGGGAGCAGCTTGTGTGTACCTGTATTCGACTCAGGATCTGGAATATAAGAAAACACTTGGGCATGTATTTTGGTCAGGGCATGAGAGAGAGCGGTCACATAGTCTACCATAGCATCTGACTGAATCTGAAGCTGCTGGGGAAAGTAACAACCTAACCTAGGTGCTGTACCAAACAAAATCTCATAGGGTGATAGGCTGTATTTTCCCCTAGGTGTGTACCTTACACTAAACAATGCCAGTGGGAGACACTCGGGCCAGGGCATGTTAGTTTCTTGTGACATCTTAAGCATTCTGGCTTTCAAAGTGCCATTCATGCGCTCTACCTTACCACTACTCTGTGGGTGATATGGTGTGTGGAATGCAAGGGTCACCCCCAGCGCTGACCAGACTTCCCGTGTTAGCGAGGCAGTAAAGGAGGTCCCCTGATCACTTTCAATCACTTCTGGGACCCCATAGTGGCAAACAATTTCTGTCAGAAGATACTTGGCTGTAGTCCTCGCGGTGAGGTTAGTCACTGGGAAGGCCTCTGGCCATCCTGAAAACATGTCCACTATGACCAATGCATATTCATAACGTCCACTCTTTGGCATCTGAATGTGATCAATCTGGATCCTCTGGAAGGGATATTGCGGCTTGGCTAGGTGATTAGGTGCGGTCTTTATAATCTTTCCAGGATTGCATTTAGCACATATAGTACAAGACTTACAGTAATTCTGTGTTAAGGTAGTGATGCCTGGTGCTTCAAAATACTTGTCAATCAATGAGTTCATCAGATGTTTTGACAGGTGGGCTGGCCCATGAGCCCATTGGACCACCGCTGGATACATATTTCTGGGTAGGCAAAACTTGAGATTGATAGTGTAAACATCATCACGGAGTACAGCTCCTTTGCTCTTCCAACTTTGTTTCTCCTGTGGAGTAGCAGCAGCTTGTTGTTCCTTCAGAAGCCTAAGATCTGTAGGCAATGTTTGCATAGTGTAGATAGGTAATGTATCTGTGGCCACTCTTCTGTCCACTTCCCATCTTTGCCGTGCTGCTTCCTTAGCTGCTTGATCAGCTAGGTGATTGCCACGTGCTTCTTCTGTGTCTAGTCTTCCATGGGCTTTTACTTTCAGTACTGCCACTTCTGCTGGAAGTTCCAATGCATCCATCAGTTCTGCAATGGCTGCCCCATGCTTTACTGGGGTACCAGTGGCCATTAGAAATCCTCTGGTCTTCCAAATTAAGCCAAAGTCATGTGCTACTCC